TTGATCGAGGCCTTAGAATTCTATCATTATTTGAACGCATGATATATAGATGACAATAATGTATGGACTTATTTGGAAACCTTTAATAGAAACCTTCCTCCTTACTACAGCTTCCGTCCTTGCATATTTTATGATCTTCCAAGTTTCATGATCCCCAGCATAGACTTTTTGGGTGGTCAAAGGGGACTCTTTCCTCTTTTTTTATCAGCTGAAAAACTGGTTGAGTCCAACCAATTAGTTAAAAGTCAAACTAAAGCAGCCTACTAGGGAGTAAGCCCGTTGTACACAGCTGGACCTGACTGGCCATATATAGGGTCAGTATATAGATCCATGTCTTTAAGGCATTTCCTTCACTTCTGTCTTCAGCAAACTCCTGGGGAAACTTACTGAATCAGGAATGACAAACTGTCGCAGATCACTACATGAAAATATTTTTGAGTGTTCATTTTTTTTAAATCAAAAAGAGTGCTTAACTTTGCTGTATCACTGTGTATATTGTACACTGTATTCATTGTTACTATGTAAATGTTATTTGCTGCTGTCCACATAAATGGGGATAGATCTTTCAGCTTCAGTGCAAGATGTTTAATAATCTGCTAGGGGAAAATCAGTGTTTTATTAATGTAAAAACATGTTTATGTGCAAAGGAATAAAATGACTTCCTGGTGCTTTGGGTTTTTTCACTTTTACAAGAAAATGTTAGTAGTTAATAGGTACTGTAGATTTGAGAAGTTTGTATGCTGCTGTTCACTGTAAAAAGGCTGCTTAGAACAGTAATCTTGTTTGTTTCTGTATTTTTTAAAATAAAGATTAAAAATTGTAAATGCTGTTTAGTTTTATTTTGCATTTTTAAACACTGTGGTGGAAACATGTAAACAATGATGATGGGATATAATCTATAGGAAATTATTATAATTCCAAAATGTTTTGATGGTGGCGGCTACAAGCATGGACGGCTTCAAAAGGGAATTAGATAAGCATATGGAGCAGAGGTCCATCAGTAGCTATTAGCCACAAGGTATAGATAGGGGCTCTGGGGCAAGTGATGATCTGTCTTCTTTGTGCTTGGGGGGGTCAACAGTGGGAGGGCTTCTAATGTCCTGGCCCCACTGGTGGACCTCCTGATGGCACTGGTATTTCTGGCCACTGTGTGACACAGAGTGTTGGACGGGATGGGCCTTTGGCCTGATCCAACATTGGCATCTCTTATGTTCTTATGAGATCAGACAGAAATTAAAGGGACAGCTAGAGGGGCCTTTTCAAAGCCTCCACAAGGACTGGCTCCCCTGTCCCGTCCCCCCTCAGGTTGCGAGCCTGATGTGACGCAGAGACAGTCCAACCAGGACTGGGCATTGGGCCTGTTCTCCTCCCAGCCCAACTGGTCCATAGGGACACGTGAGAAGGGCTGGGCTCTGGGGAGCAGGAACCACTCCCACCCACCCACCATGAGCTCTAAGAGGGCATCAGAAGTGCCCAGGGGAGGGGATGTTGGAGGCCCTGTGGCCAGACCTTGAGCCTTGCAAGAGGGTCCTGAGGACATGGAGTGTGTCCCCTTGGGAAAGAAACGGGGGACCAAAACACACACCAAGGGCGAGGAATGGTACCCAGGCCTCTGCCCTGGCCTTGGAGAAGAAGTGGGGTGTCAGGCCACAAACGCCCATGGGCACGAGAGAAGGGAGCTGAACTAAGCAAGGTCTGCCTCCCTTGAGCTCCTGACACCCTCCGATGGTCTTCAGAGTCCTGGGCAGGGAACCGTGGCAACCAGCACCCACCCTTCTGAATCTAGAACCTTCCCTCCAACGGCCGCCTCCAGCCGGTGCTGTGGAAGGCCAGCAAAGGCATTTCCCCCCTCGATAATCACAGGAACGGGGGCCCAGAGGACTGGGGTGGTCAGGATTAAAAACGACCCACCCAATATGTCCCCTGAGCTGCAGCATTGATGAGGGGATGTTATTGAGCTCCAGGCCAAGAAAAACGTCAACTGTCCCTTTCCGCTTGTTAGACCGCTTGGCACTATGGTTGCCAAGTCCAGGCTTGAACATTCCTGGAGATTTAGGGGTTGAGCCTGGAGAGGGCAATGTCTGGGGAAGCAAGGGACCTGAGCAGGGCATAATGCCATAGAGCCCACCTTCTAAAACAGCTGTTTTCTGCAGGAGAACAAGGGATGCCAACCGGCCAGAATGACAGCTCATCCCCAAGTGACAGAGATCAGTTTCCCCTGCAGAAAATGGATGCTTTGGGGGAGGGGCGGACTCTATGGCATTGCACCCCACTGAGGCCCCCGCCCATCCCCAAATCTCCAAGACTTTCCCAACCTGGAGCTGGCAGTTCCATCCCCTGTCCCCTACTGGTTGCTGGGAGGACCTGGCCACCCTCAGGGGAACCGAACTCTGTAGTCTGAACACATCAATACTAACCCCAGGAGATCTCCAGGCCATCATACGCGAGAGGTGGAATTTGCCCCTAGGACTCCAACGCCGTCACCCCGGGGCTCAGGGAGGTGGAGGAACGTATCCCCCCCCCGCGGCCTTTGCCGCTGCCGAGCGCACGGCCGCCATAACTCGTTGACGAG